GGCCCCTTCGGAGCCGGACGGGACTCACCAGAAACTCAACTCAAGAAGAAGGAAGAATTCATTGGACTGTGCGCAAGAGCTTGGGATCTATTTCACTCATGATGATACCCGGCCTCGGCTTTGATCTCGATAATTACTATTTCAGCGACAAACTTGCAACTTATTCTCATCTTTACGGCGCAACATCACTCTCGCTTTACCACTATTATTCTTCAGCCATGCAGGTTCGCTTTCAACGCCGCAACTTATTACCCCTTCGTATTCGCAATGTTTGATTTCAATACGTCTTTGTAAAAAGCGCCAGCGGTCTAATTTCAGACCCGCAGGGTTATACCCAGACACACGCACGCACCGCCATTTCCATATGTTGTTTCCTTTTACCATTTTCTCAAACCTCGAGTTTGAGTCTATTCTGGAGAGATTATGTTCATATGAGTTCAAGGATGATGGGCATTTTCGGCAAAGCAACTGTTTTGCTATACGTGGCTGAGGCCGTCTTGAAACACACCATGTCTCATGACCATTCTCACTTTTCTTCCTTTCCTTTTTTCTCTCTCTCTTTCTACTTCGCCACTGAAACCGAGACTCCTTTTTGAGGCGGTGGATCTTTTTTTGGTTCTTGTTTTGGCATATCCCGAATGTGGAGGAAATACCTTTTTCGATTTGTTGAGAATTGTGTGTTAATTCTGTTAAGCACGCGCAAATGTCTAGTGGATCGGCGGACAGAGAGGCAGGACAACAGTTAAATCGGAGTAGCGCTCACGCACAGTGACGCACTTTACCCTAGCTGCCACAATAAGAATGTTCAATTTTTGCACCGATTTTACAAACTATGATGGTTTCGGTGCCGTGACTACGTGGTTGCATGCGTTGATTGGTGACACGCGACAATACCTTAGTTCCACTTAACTAGACTGCGGAAATTCCATTGGACGACAACACATCGTATTTCCTAGTCTTGCAAGTCGGTGTGCTTCATACATGTACCTCAGACAACGAATGCGCAGAAAAGGCACCGAGACAGTCTAGCCCCCCGGTATACCAAGACCACCGGATTCAACCTCACACCGCACACGTGAGACTACACGTATGTATGCAATGCTAATCATGCCCCCTGTTCTCCACTCAACACACGCGACAATAGCAATGACGTGCGCATCTCAAAATAAAGTGATTGCGATATTCACCATACCCACGACTTCTCCTGTCCATCATGTTTATCATTTCGTCATCGTAGACCTTGTCTCCTCCGCGGATGTTGTTGATCTCTGTCTCTCCCCACTATTTCTTGTATCAACATGCCTGTACGAGCGCGAAAATCGTAGATCTACTTGAGATCGGAATATGCAGCCCTACGCCGGGTCTATGTAACAGATTGATGAGCATACAGCGGGTTGGCAGTTGTCACGAGACTACCATGACCGACCGCGTTTGGCGGGCAAATCGCATCAATCCATGATAGACAGGTGGAACAGGGTAGGAGACGGAGGGACTTCGGGGGGTTGGCAGGTGTGATATGTAGATGTGATAGATGTAAAGTTGGTGATCTTGAGTGTCTTGGTGATGAGGGTGATTCGGGATGTGGAGGACAGGCAGCATGGACAGAACATCCATCTCATGCGAGAACGACGCATTGCGGTGATGATCTTGAAAGCAATAGTCCAGTTACGCACCGTCCTTGACAACAACATCTCGGGCGAATACTCACGCACGACAACCATCCACCATCGTATCGCAATTTTTCTATGATCAACCCAAGGATACCTCTCCCCTCTCCTCTCTCCTCTCCCTCCATCACCGCATCATCATCCATTGACATCCAAGTACCAAGCTTACCAAGCTACCAATTTATCCCAGCACCTAGCACCCATCACTCGAATTCCCCACTCTTCACTCGCTACAGCCTGTCGCAGCACCCTAGCTAGTTTCGAAACAAACGTCGTTAGTACGTGAGTCAGTTTCAATTGATCAATTTGACGCAGGGACCATCATGGGTCTGTTCTTTCTGCTAGTGCGTGTGTGTGCTGGTCAGGGATAATCATGAAACAGCCGCCTCTTAGCTTCGGAGGTGGGCGTAAAGCGGAACGGGCTCAATGCTAAGGAGATGGGGGATGATTATGAAGGTATTGCATGGGATGGGGTGGGAGGGGGTGGGAGATGAGAAGGGTGATGGGAGGGTGAGTGGGTGATGTGCTATGGGAGATGGGAAGGAAAGGCGGGAAATGTTGTTGGATTGGAGATACCCGCGTGTATGGTCCGTTAGCCTTCGTCAAAACAACAGCCGTAACAGACCACCGCGGTAGTAAACGTCTATCCCGCCATCTAGCGCGTGATGCGCGATGGAAAACGTCACCGTCACGTACGTTGGCTAGGTGAAAAGGCGCGTTCAAGGGTCGAGCGCCACAGAAGGAGGGATACGTCGTATTGTCAAATCTACATCGGGCCTCGTGACCTCAATCACCACTTTCTTACCAGGACCATGCGGCTCATCAGACAAACCAGGATGTCCCCACGTCCGTCTGTCTTCTCGAATCTCGCTGACAGCACGTATCTCAGCAGCGGTTTCCCAGTCCCTCAACTCGGACACGGTCGGTGCTAACATGTCAGATCTGACGATTACATATGCGCATCGGCATGGGCATTGCGCGCTTGATGACCTCTTCTCTCTTCTCACCGCCCTGCGCAAATCAAATATTGTTCGATAGCTTTCTTCGCCAAAGTTCCGTGTTGAGAAATCTTTTGAGTTGACAAGCTGTGCAGGGACTTCTGTGCGCGCGACGCGTCTTGACGGTCTTGTTGATGGGCTATTGAATTTTGAATCGCCAGCAGGGTTCGGCGCCCGATGTAGGTCCTTTGGCACGCGGAAGTTTCCTGGGGTGGGCGTGCGTTTTTCGGTTTCTCGCTTGGTCGGTTGATTTGCCGGAGGCACGGGCGTGCGAGATGTGGGTGGAGGTGGAAGCGGAAGAAGGCGCTTCTGGAAGGAGGTTGATGACTTTAGGTGCTGTTGTGATGGGCTTGCAGTATGGCAGCAACGTTCGGATGACTATAACGTTTCGCGCGTTCGATCATCTGCTCATTGATCTCGGCCCCAACGTCGACCAGAAATCGAACCATTGATACCAGCGATGCATCGGCAGCCGCCCACAAGGCATGTTCATTGACGATAGCTCCACGTTCGACCAGGTATCGGCACAGTGCCTCGTTCTCCGTAAGCACGGCGTGCGCCATCAGCCTGTCTTCTGTCCACCTCCAGTGCTCCTTGCGACCACTCGATGGGAGCCGCGGTGTGACACGCATACCGTTCTCTACCAACATGCGCACTATATCCAGACGCCCTCGTTTTACAGCTACTTCCAAACCATCGTTGTCAAGGACCCTGGCATCCGCACCACGGTTCAGAAGCAGGCGAAGGATTTCCTCGTTGCCACCTTTGATGGCTTGTTCAAGCAGACTGTCAGAACCAGTGTAGGAGGCTTCAGCTCCTCGTCTCTTGACATGCGCCTTCTGTTTAAGTAAAGCTCCTTGCTCGACAAGTCGCTCTGCTATATCGACTCTTTGCGGGCTCTTCCGTGCGACGAGACATAAGAGTGTGTCGTGTCCAGGATATACGGCTTTGATACCATGGGTTTTCATCGGACGAGAGGCTATCAGGCCAAGGAGCTGAGTGACGAAATCGGCCGATGGACTCTTGAAGACCCCGGACACCAGTATATGCTCATTCAAACTGTGAGTGCGATATGGCCCCTTTCCGGGCAAGTCCCAACGCGGCTCCATGATGAACCTCACTACGTCTAAATGGCCCCCTCTCAATGCAGCCTCAACGGCTTCATGTCGATGATATATTGACTGTTGTTTGAAACTCGGATGCAGGAAAACCTTTTCGAGTAGCGCCGTGTTCCCGTTCTCAGCGGCAAGAGAGGCAAGGTCCTGTTTACAGTCTATTGTAAATCGTCCATTTTCACGCGTTCCGCACGGATTCGACCAGGGAGTGAGACAGTGCGATATGATCTCGTCCAAGATGGGGTCATTGAGTAGAGAATTTACTCCTTCTGGACAGTCGTTGAGTATGGCCATCTCCAGAAGGCATGCTTGATCGTACATTCGACACTGAATTCGGTCTTTAGAACGTGCTCTCGACAATATGCGCACTGGATTGCAACAGAAGGCATGGATATATTGTCGCAAGATCGTGTGCAGTGTTTTCTTGTTAGTTTCCTGGGGATGGCTAATCCGGCGAAGACGCTCGGCTGCGCGATATATGCGTTCGCATATCTCCACATGGGCCCATTTCTTCCCTATGATCTTGTTGGTGAGGAATGTCTGCCAAAAGGCGACAAACTCGGGCGAGTGGGAGAAGCCAAAGCGATATCCATGTACGTCGTCCAGTAGCTCGGATTCTTGGAGCGCATCCTTCACTTGTTGAGAGAACTCCTCTGCCGAAGAATTAGCAGGCGGCATTACGGCTGCGCGTTAATTGCTGTTGCATACTGTTCACCAGCCTCAATCGTAACCCTCGCTTGAGACCTCTGACATTGACGGCGTGTATCAAAACCGTGCGCAATATCTCTGCTGGTAGTGCAAGGAGGTTTGCCATAATGCGAGTGGCGGGGTGGTGGGGGAATATGGACAGGCAGGCGGGATGTTCATCTGGGGATTACGCAGTTGTACTTGCCTTTATGCATTACGCTAGACCAGTTTCACTCCAGGCATCAGGCAACAGGCAACGCCACCTGCAGCCACAGATCAGAAGAGGCGAATGGAATACACTGACGCGCAATGTTTCTGATAGCTATCGTGATGCATTCTAGCGCATTTGACATTGCGAAGGTGTTTGACTTGGATCGTCTCTCACGACTACTGTACACTGCATGCGTATGCGCAAGCTCGTCGCTGCATCGCCTCATACCCGGAAAATCCTGAACAGATCTGCACCTTGCACTGAGATGAAAACATGCAAAATAGTCGACCCAAGGCCAATGTAGGCTCCAGGATGATCGAACTCATCCCTCGTTTAGTATAGTAGCCTCCGGCATCTCTGCCTTCCAGTCCCTCACCGCCCTCGTGATTGAGACCTCCGTACCTCGATTTCCCTTCATCCGCTCGCAGGAGTAGAAATAGCGGGGCCAGACATGGCCGTTCTTGTCCGCTGTGGCAGCCTTCGTCAGCGACTCCATGGGGGAGAATGCGAGAAGTCTGATGTTCGAGCCACGGTCACCCATATATCGTACGATGCTGTCCGCTCGGGCTTGGAACGCGTAGCGCTGCTCTCCGCTCTCAAGAGATCGGCGGAAGAAGCGCATGAACTCTCCTTGGCGGTGGTAAGCTTTGCGGTAGTTAAGCGGGTTTGTCAAGCGTAGTAGCCGCAGGCTTTTCTTGCTGGCAATAGCGCTCAAAGCCCTCTCGAACTCGGTTGATGCTGAAAGTACGGATGTTTTCTGGCTGAGGAAGTCTCCTTCTGGAGTATCTGGGTCGATCTCGTATAGGTTGAGGCATAGTTGCTCTAGGCTTGGACATGCGATAGCGATCTTCCGCATATCTTCTGCGCTCATACATCTGGTGGCGTCTTGCCGGTGGGTACCTCCGTTGACAATGAGTAGGTCCGTGAGTGTCTCCCCGTGGTTGATGATGCCATCGACATCGATCTTGACGCAATTACCGCACTGGAAGTGTAGCTGGCGCAGTCCATGGAAAGAGAGTAAGAACAACCGTAGCTGTAGCAGGATGTCATTCGACGAGACCTCATGCGTTCTGAGAAGCCGCAGCTTCCTTAGAGAGGGTTCTCGCTTCTGGAATTCAGAGCACATAGCTTCCAGCAGCTCAGCGACGCGTCCGGTATCAACAAGGACGAGCTCGGTGAGGGCAATAATGTCTATCCGCTGGAACATGGTGCCAAAAGTCGCAGGGAGGATGAGAGCACCGATATGAAGGCTGCTTAGTTGAAGGTTGACCTTGTCCGACTGCGTCGTGTCTGATCCACCTTGTGGGACTGCAGATGTCGTATCGACCCCGAAATGGCCTTCTTGCAAGCTGATTGACGTCGACGTGACAGGTTCACTCTGCATCATATGGATATGCGTCAGCTTAGGACATCGCACCCATAGCTTCCGAAACTCTCGTGGGGTGAGCGTATTTATAGAGACTTCCATATGGGTGAGGCTTGATAAGGATGAACCAGTCCAGGGCGATTGTAATATCTGCGACATCTGGGTACCAGGGATGATAAAATGTTCGAGTTTCGGGTGTATCTGCAGTAGGAGCTCGAGCGTACTGCAGAGGTAGAGGTACGAAGTCAGTATATGTCTCACATGCACTTCGTACAGTCAGAACTTACCTGATAGGTACCCCACTTCCGCTCTTGAAGCCACATAGTTGTCCGCGAGAGATAGCAGCGAGTAATTGTGGCAGTTGGTCTGCTTCTTTGAACGCGTTTGGTCGGTCGAGGAGGTTGATCTTGCGGACGTGCTTGACGATGTTCGAGGAGGGGGATGCTAAACCGCGCACATTTCGTGAGCCCGGGCCAGTCTTGACGAGTAGGTCCGTGGTAAAAGTTTCCCACATGATGGGCATCGCGACGACGGCCCAATCCCTGTTTATGAGCGAGACTGCTTGCCGATCCTTGAGGAACAGATAGCGCACGACTGCGCATTTCAGCTCCGCGGGCAGTCGGCCAATGTGATCTGTCGCCATGTCTCGTATGAGCCTAACCAGGTCTGCAGACTACACTGCGATTGGAAAAGTAGATCTGAGTCTCCAGCGTCGATGTAGGCTCCAGGGTGTTTAGATTATGCCTTGGTCAAGGTGTCGGTGGGCGCCGTTAACCTGGGTGGACCGCGAGGTGTCCGCGATGTTTTGGGCTATCGAAAGAACGCAATCGTGAGAAACAGTGAGGGCGGTTGAGAGACCAAGTGTAATGCCAAGGCTCGGTAATGCGATATCACCGTGAGAGCGGTGTTGTGGTTTTCACTATCCCAATGTGAAAGGGCTTGACGCCCAGGAGCGCGCTCCAAGCGTAAGCACGGTGCCGGGGGAGTGGCCGCCTAGCCATAGTCTTTTAGGTGTCTATCACGTGTAGATTTGCAAAAATAAATGGCTGCTGCCCGTAGCTGTGTCTTCACCGCGAGCTCGGAGTGGTAAAGAATGGGCGAAAAGAAAATGGCAAAAAGAAAGTTGCCTGGAAGCTCTCCAACTGGGAATTGAACCCAGGTCTCCCGCGTAATTGTCAAAAGCCAGAAGGCCCAGATGACAAGCGGAAATACTGACCACTATACTATTGAAGATTGTTGTTTCGATGAAGAAACATACCTTTAAGCCAAAGATATTGCCGTCATGCGACGCGATCGAGGTAGGACGCTTCCACATCGACAGAGCAGTTGGATGGTGGTGGCTAACGAAAGACTGCGATGAGAATTTTTGGACTGTGGGGTCGAGATTGTGGCGGAACAGATTACTGGTGGGGCTATCCAACTCTTCCTGGAATCGCAGGAGCGATTGCTCACATCCAATGCAACGATATGTCGATTTGGACGCTTGCTTATCTGAGAAGGCTGCGCAGCAAATCGTCGGTAGCTAGGCAGTATCTTGGAAGATGATGATGCTACACCCTGATCTTAGCCTGAACATTACATGCTTAATAGGGAACGCATCAGACTACGCGATCTACCGTAGACCCAGGTTCCACTCTTGGTTCTCGTCGCACATGTGGTAATCCGACTACTGAGTGCATGACTTTGGGCATAATCGGTACGATGATTACGCACGAACGTCTGCAGACTTATTCAGCATGAGCTTAGAAGGTCCGGAGATTCCCAGATCATAGACTGATCGTGCCTGGCGATACCTACTCAGGCTCTTAGTGTATCGAAAAGTGTTCGCTTTATCTTAATGTGAAGAGACCAGAAGAATTGAAGTACTTGTAAGCAGCGCTCACGAAGAACCTTTGGTGGGAGGAGTGAGGTTGCGAGATGACGATCTTCCCGTCTTATGTAATCTGGCACTTAGCATCCTGGGCTGCTCGCGCGCCCAGCGATCCCTCACATCTAGCCACGCCCTTGCTCAACCTTCCAAGGTACTTCACACCTACACGCAGCCTACACGCGCATTACTGCACATCATGGTGTACACGCTTCGTGGACAATATGCACCATTTTCTACGCGCAACACAACCACCAGGATCCTTATCGCTCATCACGACACCTGGGCATCATCACGACACCACTCGTCTTAATCCTGGAATGGACTGAGTACCCACGCGCAGAACGCCTCGATGAAGACATGCATCGTACAAGAAGGTCGGAGAAGACTTGTAGCAACATAGCTTGTGGGCGGCGTATCATTGCTGCTAGTTTTGGTGAAAATTAATGTCGCATCGCAGTACAACCTCGGAAGCCTCGGCCCCTCTACTCGTCCTTCGCAGTTCGATGACCCTAAACCAAGTGCATCACTTGCGCCTCACGATCCGCATTACATACAAGGAAGAATAGAGGAGCAAGCGTAAGGCTTTCAGAGCACGGCCTGGTGTTGCGTCGATGGCTTGCCTGATGCTTCATCGAATGCACTTGGTCACGAAACGTCGGCATCGTACTGAGAACACATGCAAGTATGTCAAGGGTGTAGACACGGTCTAGAACGTGCGACATACGTGTCGTTCAGTCTATGTTCCTCTTGATTGTACGTTCAAAGGTTTGTCAGCTTGCTGCGATGACACCAAACCTCCTATGAGCTGTATAAAGCGGTTACAATTACCTAGCAATGCTGGCCTCTTCCTACATTTCTCAGTCGACGTACAACTTTCCTAGTAGGCAACGTTACCCCAAAATCAGACACCAGCGCAGACCTATACATTATGTTAGAAAGTACACAATTATTAACAAATCATAGTGTTTATGTAGCAACACGCGACACAGGTCCGTGAGTTTGTGTGCTGCTGGACGTCGCAGCTCTGCAAAAGCTTTTCACTACTAGTAAACTTGGAAGTGAACGCTGGGTGCACGGTCCCCGATTGCTTCTGCCTACGAATACCACGAACTCCTGCCTGCAACTTTACCCACCCACCTGAGCACTACCAGCGACGAACTACGTTGAGAATCCTCAACTGCTACCGAATATGGCCTGCGCACCCAACTTCGCGAGTCTTCCCAACGAACTGAAGATGAGCATCTTCTCTTACATCAGATTGAAAGAGGAACAGGCAGCTGTTTGTCTTGTGAGCCGCGAGTGCAGAAAGATCATGGCGCCCCAACTGTGGTTTTCGCTCGACCTGACACCCACGACGATGTCAACCGCGAAGACAATGGCCCTTTTAGATCCGGACAACCGTATACTTCACCACGTCCGTCGAATTTTAGTTTACCACGGCCCACGAGATTCGCTCCGATGTCACTCTCAGGAGTTCGAGTCTGCAATCCAACTCATCATAACTGCATTACCGAGAGACACTCTACTTTCTTTCTGCACGTATATGAACTTTGATCCCGGGCTTTTGCTCAACCTACTTCGCCATCAGAGGACACTTGATCGTCTCGAGATACCTACGAGATTATCAGACCGGAACCCATCGATCGATCTTCAAGTTTCTACGCATGCATCCTGGGTTTCCGCTGCGCTGCGCGAATTGAGGAGGCTACAGGTCCACGTTGGCACGGTGGATTGCGCTCACGAAAACTGCGCATACTTGCTAAGAAACTCTCCGAAGCTTCGTCAACTCAGCATCATGCCCGAAGAACCTCTAGGGCTAACTAGGAGATACGATGAAGCTTCTCTCGGTAGTTCGAAGGGATGTGACGCTTTTGGTGGTCCATTTGCAGACGGTGTTGTAGTGCAGCCACTGCAGCTAACACACTTGCAATTACGAGTCGATTTGAAGCTGCTTCGACCCGAAACTATACTCGCATACGTCAATTTCTATGGACTTCGATCGCTCTCAATCGATGCTTGTGGTCACGTAGGGCCATTTCTTGCAGCGCTTGCGGCTCAGTTTTCTCAAAATTGTAATCTGATCGGATTAGAGATCGGATTGCGAGGCTTCGAGATTACCCCAGATGAAGACGTTCGGCTGATTGAAGATGTGCTAATGTCCTGTTCGAGTCTTCAACGCCTCTGGATAGGCACAGGACAGGCCAGAACGGTGAATACTTCATATATCGTTCGACATGGTAGCACGTTACGAAAGCTCGGTCTGAGCCTTAATCCGGAAGGTTCGACATACTATTCCGCACAAGATCTGTCTCTTATATTATCATCCGCTCCGCATCTAGAGCAACTGGCTGTATACATATCTCCAATCGAAATGGGCAGCGCACAATCTCTTGGCACAGATTTCACGCTCACAATACCGAGCTCTTATAATGTGCCTAATGCCTTGGAAGCATTCTTGGTAGGTTCTTGAAGCCCAGGATCGGTATCAATCACTTTAATAACTAAGCGACAGGCTTGCATTGGACGCCATCCAACACTCCGAAATTTGCGCATGATTTCGCTACCGAATATCGACTACGGCCTTTCGCCAAACCCTACTTTCCAGAACCGAGTTAGCATAACAGATGAACTCGTGCCCAGCGCAGCTATGACCATGCAGTCGCTTGCTACAGCCATCGTCCGTTTCCTCGACAAGCTTGGCTCGGTTATAACATTGTTCGGGTTTTCCGCCGAGTACATGCCTATAGCCCGACCAAGAAAAGATACCAACGGCCATCTATGGCCTCGTTATTTCTATACTCGCGGTCGTACTATCGATGCAATGGGCGCGGGGAGAGTTGCGGCTGTTCCTCTGCCGGCTTGCGCTCTGCCCGAAGGGCCGTTGTTTAGTCGATCTTATGTGAAATAATTGGGCTTCGAAGCAGTCTGTCTGAGACTACGAAGAGTGGATTGGATTGGCAGATAGTGTTTGAGATATCACAGTTGTAGGAATGATTTGACTATGCGTTACGCCTGAGGTTCTTTATGGATGCATCGCTTGCAGGCTGGACATGTTGGGGAAGTGACCTTCGTCTTAGACACTCATGTTCATTGTTTGTAGTTTATAGCCAGGGCAAGGCTTCTCGCATGCTCGCAACGGTCGAGAGATAGATAAGAAGGTGGCACGCGGCTGTTGATCTGGCAAAGCAAGGAGGGCAAGAAGTACGAGGGTGCGATGCCTAAGTAACTAAGATCCTGCGCGTTCAAGACAATAATATGATTAGGTACCTATAGGTGGAAGGCTTGTGTCTAGTGTATTGATAATGGAAACCAAAGTTGTAAACGCCTTCAACCCACTGAGAGAAGTACCAGGCGTCTCCTCGTAGTCTGTTTTGGCGAAAACGATATGTCCTGGCGAGACAGACATCCTTATCTTGCATAACGCGGGCGTCTACATCTTCCCCAGCGCCAGTGTTTAAGACTCGGCTGCGCATATGAAGTCTCAAAACCATTGGCGTTCTCCGAGATTAGCAGCCCCAACGAACGTCTACCGGCATAGTTAGTATAGTTCATCGGTCGTATAAGGACATCAGCTTACGGTTTGCAAACAGCTTGAACGAATCTGCGTTGTTCAGTGCCTTCCTGGAAGACAGCTTAACGGAAGGCCAGTAGTCATAAGCCCAGTCCTTGGTAGGAGGGCTATACACCTCTGAAGAATGCGTCATCTCGTGCAGAAGTAAATTGCCCTGATCCTTGGCTGAACATTGCCCTTCCGCTACTGCCGGCTTGTCCCAGTAACCAGCGCAGAACGTGATGCCGAGACCATGCGGGCCGTAGTATGCGAGGTTACCGTCACAATGGCCGAGACGGTCATGACAGTAGAGATTCAAGCTTGCACTAGGTTTAGCGCATTCCTGTGCTATTGCGGTGTATCGGGCGGAAACCTCAGCTTTCGTAGCTGATGTTGACGAGTGGAAGAAGGTTTCGAGATGGCGGTGGCCGGCTCGAGCTGCAGCTGCAGCTCCCAATGCTAGCTTTTGGCAGTTCTTTTGTGCCTCGGCGATTTTATCATTCATGAAAGCTATGAAGCCTGCGTCAGCGTTTGTGCGAGTCTGTGATGGAAAGGGGTACGTACGTTGGCAAAAGTAGGGATCGGCTGCACGTTCGGCTACTGGCTTGTGAGTAGCCGCTTTGGTACCGTTGACAGTGATGCTGAGCTTGTTGGAGCTGTATTGGAGATGGCCAACAAGCTCGGTCGAGTTGGTGTTGGCGTATTGCAGCATGCCGTTTGCGAACACATCGAAGCTTCCGCCGTTGCTGAGATCGTGTAGAGAGGCAGCTTCAATCGTCAACTCTTTCTTGTCTCCAGCTCCAAGAACAAGGAAGTCGTCTGCGGATAGGTTGTCGGTATCAAGGTGAACCCTGCTGATGCCTTCGAAAGGAACCTTGATAGCTGAATGTAGGTCAGTAATAGTTTGTCTTCAGTCGCGTTGGATTCGGTAGGTCTAAGTAGAACTTACAACTGTTGCTAGCGAACATCGAGATGCGCTCGATGGGTAGCTTCTCATCGAAGAGAGTGGTTCTCCTGAGAAGGTTCAAAGCCATATCGCCGTTGTTCGTCACTACGACCTTGACGGCGGAGTTACCCGCGGCAGTGAGCTGAACGCCAATCGCCCGCCCATTTGATGAGTAGGAGTCATAAAGAACGTCTAGCCGCATAGTTAGCATAGTCTATACGGTGTGGGCATATGAGCTTACCCTGTGCGAACACCACGAAAGAATCTGCATTGCTCAGCGCCGCCTCGGTCGTCTTTAATCGCTCCGTCGAGTTATAGAAGCCATACGCCAAGTCTTTCGTGCCAGGCTTATAAACCTCTGGACTGTGCGTTAACTCGTGTAGAAGTACGGTGCCCCGGTCCCCGCCGTAACCTGCCAGGTTCACTAGCGGCATGCCCCAGAAGGGTGGGCAGATCGTCACATAGCCGCCCCCACCCGTATAGAATACCACGCCCTCACCCGTATAGAATGCCACGTTCTCGGTCCCACACTGGTTGTGACGGTCAAAACAGTGGTAACTCAGGCGTGGCTTGGCGCATTCCTTTGCTATTGCGTGGAAACGGGAAGCAACCTTCACCCTGATGCCTGTCGAATCCGAGTGGAAGTAGGCCGGGAACCTGGGGTCTTCATATGCGGCTCTGGCAGCGTGCGATGCTAGTTCCACGCACTGAACTTGTGCCGTTTCAATAGCTGCGCGCTGGAAACCTGTGAAGCCCAAGTCAGCGTTTGCGCGGATCTATGATGGTATGATGAAGGGAGGAGTACGTACTGTCGCATTGGTCCTCGAAATAGCGCTCGGCTACTGGATTGGGAGCAGCCGCTTCGGTGCCGACTGGCGCGGCATGAATGTAGGTGGCCAAGAAAGCCAGGAATGGAATAATAGACCACTTCATTTTCGAATGGAAAGCTGGTGGAAATGTTTGGAGAAGATTCGGAGTGAACTGTTTAGAGTTGTACTGTTGAAAGTGAGTCGTCTTATAATATTTCCGAATCAGCATATAAATACTAGCGTAAGCGAGGGATGGATGGGGTTTCTGGTTGAGATTTCTGCAAATCAGCTGAAGCCAAAGCCCAAACTTACTTGCTCGCATGACGGTGATCATTTGGAAATACCGACCAATCTCGTCAGAAATGTATGGATTGCAGGGAACGTGAATGGTTCGTCGCGCGTTGGTTGTTGCAGTACCGTGGAACGGAATTGAGGCTGGGAAGCGATCGAAACACAATCATGGTGTTAGCACGCGACACGTTGTCAGCGTACGTATCGCCCTTGCGATAAATGACCAGTCCGATCCAGAACCAGACCGCAGTCTGTGTCAAAGGCGCACTCTATGGCCAAGCTCGTCGCCGAAGCGACCCGCAGACTGCCCATGCGATAAGGCTGTGCCGTCTCTACCGAGCAGTTCGATGGACCCGAGGTAGCGCAGATACGAGGCTCATGTTGAGTCGGTAGAGATCAACGTTGAGAAGTGGGGAAGGCGTGGGTGGATATCTTGTTGAGCGAAGGGGCGAGGACGGCGCTTGCCCTGGCGGGCTGATGTATCGAACAACACCTCAAGGTAATAGCAGATCACTTTCCCACTTCTACCCACTTCCCCACTTCCACCAAGCTTCTCTACCCATTACATTATCTGGAAACTGCCACGCACCGTTCCTTCGTATTCGATATTCATCCGTATCAAGTGCCTTCTACCCCTAGTGGGACGTATCCTCATCGCTCGCCGGCTGTACCTAACAAGGACCTCGTAAAGGAGAAATCGCCGGTGCTAAAGCCTCCTGCCTCAGCTCTGAGGACAACCGTGAGCTCAGCCATAGCGGCAACACTCTTTCCCCCTCCAGACGTCGTGCTCATTAGCCTGGGCGAAATTGGACTGGCAGCTTGACGGAACTACTTTGCCATCGAGCAAGGGTCTCAAGTTGGGTCGCTCTTGATCTTCTCACTCTTATCCTAAGTCTCTTTAACCTCCTCCAGATGTCGTTCTGCACATCCGCGATGTCCCAGAGGTGGCCCAGAGAAGACGAGCCAACCACACCTCCCGCACTTTATTTAACTCTTACGCGAGGAGATAGTCTACAAAAGAGAGAATTATCGCATCTCCAAGAACCTCTGTGTAGTCTCTCTTTGGACAGCCTCCTCTTGATCTGAATCATCAGCCCCGCCGACGACCACGGTATTGCGGTGACCCACCAGACCCGCAGCATTCTAGCGAACAACATGAAAGCTATCGCAATCATACCGTATAACAAAGTACCATCTTAATCACCTGCCTGAAGGACTAGATCGCAGTCTAAGTCAAAGGCGCACTCTATTCATTCCTCCTTTTGATCAACGAGTTAGGACGAAAGGACTGGATGGAGAGGGTCAAACATGAACAAGTACACCATCTGCAATCACGCTCCGTCGGGTAACTACAAAGGCCAGTACGTATTTGTATTCATCTACGACAAAGGTCAGTACAGAGCGAAAGTCGCGCCTCCCATCCCCTCCTCCAGCATCGTCGGCTGGGCGGACTAGTCGTCACTCATGAGTAGCCGGGGAATTCACCCAAGAACCAAACACCGATCAACATCTACGTTTACTACGAGCCTATTCATGTCGCATACGATAATGTCGCCAATCTCCTTCCACCTGTAGAATGGCAGAGACCACGTTCTGGTTGCGGTAGAATGGGAAGCAAGCTGAGAGCTGCATCCAGCCGGCGAAAAGCTTCATTTTGGTGTTTCCCTTGAACGCAATGTATTACGGTGGAATGTTGATGCAGAGCAGGGCAACAAAACGCGGTCTAGTGACTCTATATAGGTGATCTCAATGTAGGTGTAATTCCTAAGCACCTGATATTTGCTGTAATGCATCAGTAGGAATTAATGAACGCAATGTATTATACTTGCGATTTCTCTCATCCGTGAGAATATCTCGTGTGTGTTGCTGGAGTCGTGATTGGCTCGTTTCGCTCAGCGTCCTCGCAGTACCATAGAATGAAGTGAATGGCAACCAAGAGATGGAATCGCACTATAGTTTTCCCGCTTCTTAAGAATGCAGCACGATTAGTACCTGATGAAGGCTTCGAAGCGATACTTAAACCTAAATGGAACGGTCGATTCAGAAGGCCACATTGTCTTGAGTAGCATACGTTTATCAGATTATAACACAGTGTATGCAGCAACGCGATACATGGTAAGTGGAAGCGGCAGTCTCTCTGAAGACCGCCATTGTCAGGGCACGGCCTAATCAGGACTAGCGTCTCTATGAACGATCCACTCACCCCGACCCAACTGGAGAAAACAAGCTCACCTGAACTAACTCACACTCCACCCATTCATCTATACCCGGCGTTTTTTACCGCTCGCGATGGCCGGCCTCGGTATCACCGCCACGTTTTCGGACCTCCCGACTGAGATGAAGGCGGCTATCTTTGCCAACATCCATCAAAACCCTCACAGAAAGGCGGTTTGCCTTGCAAGCCGCGAATGGAGGGATATAATGAGGTAAATTTACGGCTGTAAGATAAATATATGAAAGATATGCTGACTTCGTGCGTCCACCTTTTAGGCCCATTCTCTGGGAAACCCTCTTTCTCGAATGTGCCACTGTGCCAGGAGACATAGCTTCATTGCTGAGCGCAGGTAACGGAGTACTTCCCCACGTGCGCTATATCGTCATCTACACGACGACAGGCGATGTCGTGGACTTCGACCCGATCTCCGACTTTGGCACCGCGGTCAGCCTCATCATCGGTGCTCTTCCAAGGAATTGTCTTTTGGGAGTCACAATCCAACCCACGATCAGCATGTCTACCATTCTAAGCATTCTACAATGTCAGCAATCGCTACAAATGCTTCGAACTCGGAAAATCAAATCAAGCGAAAGCTCCTCGCTTAATTTGAGCCTTGCCTCACATGGCTCCTGGGTCGCCCCTACATTGACTAACATCCGGACGTTGCGAATTCCTATACCCGTTGATGATCATAACGCGTACAAGACCAGTGCCTTCCTCCTTAAGAATACACCCAGGCTATGGTCATTGTGTCTCATAGGTGAAAGTCCTGTTCCTCCTCTGCTGGATCCGTTTGGAGGGCCGTACGCAGTTGGAGCAGCTATTCCAACTTTGCAGTTGGAGATGCTTCAATTACTATGGCTAAATCTCCAAGCATATCCCGCACAACTCTTTTCGTACATCAACTTCTCCAATCTTCGGGTGCTCTGTATCAGCCAATGCCGGTCCATCGGAGCCTTTCTTTCAGCTCTTGTTACAGTAGTTCCTCGAGCCACGGCGTTAAGAGGTTTGGAGATATCAGTAGTACCGGGGCCGACTCCTTCAGACATGGACATACAAGCAATAGAGGCTGTGGTTGCCTCCACGACTTCGCTGGAGGTGTTATGGTTGGATGTGGGGAAAGGGCGTGCAATCAATATTTCGTGTATGGCAGGACTCGGGAGGTCCTTACGGCGTCTTGGTCTGACTGCTTCTTCCGGATCACAGCTTCCACCCTACTACACCAGCTCCGAGCTTGGTAGACTGCTGAAACAGATGCCAAGGCTTGAAGAACTAGGGATCCATCTTTGTCCGGTCAGTCTGGGTACTGTCCAGCATCTAGCTGTCAAATTCAGGTTACCCGAACAAACCGGGGAAGAATTTGGTTCTGGCGAATTGACATCTCTACTGGTATGGAAACTGCTCCTCAATGGAGACACATCGCTGACAGAGCCATTAGGATTGTATTGCCAACCATCCATGTCTCAAAGCACTGCGAACGTTCACCACCCCAAGTATTGACGGTGGAACAGCACTCGACCCGAACGTTCCGGGACGTATCGTGCTTCCCGAAGGATACGTCTATACCGCGCAAGTTATGATGCAGGCATTCGCTACAGAGGTCTTCCGCTATCTGGACAAGCATGGGTCGAAAATCAGAACCTTGTCTGTGTCACCTGAGTTCATAAGAGCCGAACGTCCTGGCTACGACGAAAACCACCATAGATGGCCGCGATACTTCTACACATACGGATGTGCGCAAACTATGGGCGGAGATAAGCATGTTGTGGCCGTTCCGACACGAGTATTCGACATGCCGCCTGGCTTTCGGGGCAACAGATGAGTGGCCAAGGAGAGACGTCGTTGACACACGGTCACGGAGATGAAAGATGTGAAGAAAGCTCGGAATGCTGTCAAAGCACTATCGATGCTAGCGGAGGAACTGCTCTACGGAAGCGATGGAAGATTGGCATGAACTTGATAGCTAAGCTGAATTGACTGCATACATGGAGAAAGAAGCTCCTCAAACCACTGTACCATCAAACCAAATCCAGATTTCCAAGCCCCTCCACGAGCATACACTGCCTCTCCTGCTCTTCAAAGTTGTCCAAATGCTCGTATGTGGTCGCCACGCTCTCATCTACCAAGCCCAGCACTTCCCGCTCCTCCGCTTTCATCTCACTGCCATACGCCAAACCAAGCATCTCCTGCTCCTCAACCTTCATCTCACTATCATATGCCAAGTCCATAACTTCCTGCTCCTCCACTTTCATTTCACTGTCACACGCCGAACCCAACATTTCCTGCTCCTCTACTTCCATTCCGTTCTTACGCCCCAACTTCCTCATCTCTTTCTCTATCTTCCTGGTCTCTCTCTCTGCCTTATCCTTGATCCTCCTCGCCCTGGCCTTCTCCTTCCTCTCCTTCCTCCTCTGGTTAATAGCCTGCCTAGCTTGGACCCTCAGGTCACGACTTAGCTCTCTTCGCGGCAGTACCTTCACATCCTTGAACGCAGCAGACAGCCATCTACCCACGAAGTCTTCTCCCGCACCTCCCGTGACGAGTTCCCCGCCCAGTCTCACCGGCGGGAAACTAACGCTCCGATCGAGTAACTCCGGCGGGTACTCAGCTAAAGCAAG